AAATTGATAGAATGATTTTGTTGTTCAAGGGTAACTTTGAAATGTGGCTTATATACTAAGCTGTTAGGGCAACTTCTGGGTTAGTTGATTGATTAAAATCAATATGTAAAAAAGATAACTTCTCCATTTTGGTAAATGAAGGCTATAGAAAAGCATTTGAAAATGTTCTCTAATTTAAAGAAGATTAGCTTTTTAGGTTTAAAATTTCTCTTTGCACTTCTAAACGTGGCCACTGTAGTGCTTTAGTAGAATCTCTCTCTTTCATCTCTAAGGTTATCTCTTGTTGTTAGGTGCTTTCAAGTCAATTTGCAACTCATAGTGACACTGTGTGACAGAGTAGAATTTCCTCAAAGGGTTTCCTAGGCTATAATCTTTACAGGAGCAGATTGCCGGGTCTTTTCTTCCATGGAGTCTCTGGGTGGGTTCAGACCACCAGTTAGCAGCTGAGTGTTTAACTATTGCACTACCAGGGCTCCTTAGGTTATGTCTTACCAGACCCAAGTCCCTTGATGTTTTAGTTATCTAGTGCTGTTTAACAAAAATATACCACCAGTGCGTGGCTTTACCAAACAGATTTATTTGGGAGGCTACAAGTCCAAATTCAGGACACTGGTTCTAGGGGAAGGCTTTCTTCTGTATTAGCTCTGGGGAAGGATCCTTGTCTCTTCAGCTTCTGTTTCTTGGTTCCTTGGAGATCTCATGTGGCATGGCATCTGTCTTCCCACAGCAACTTTTGCTTGCTTGCTTAATCTGCTCTTTATAATAAAGAAATTGATTTAAGACACACCCTATATTAATACTGTCTCATTAGCAAAGAAAACTCTATTTTCAAATGGGATTATGACAGCAGGTCTAGTGGAATTTATAACACATATTTTTGAGGACACAAAGCAATCCCTAACACTTGGTAAGTGTTTAGTTATAAATCTAAAAACATATAGTTTGACATTTTTTTCCTTTGTCCAAAAAAGTGACCCTACTATTTACAATCTCATTTGTAAAAATTATTATGTGTGTAGATTAATTCACATGCTATAAAATGAATCATTTTAAAGTATATATTTCTGTGCACTGAAGTATGAATATACTTCAGTATATTCATAGATTTATACAGCCATCACCACTATCTAATTTCAGAACATTTTCATTTGTTCAAAAAGAAAGCTTGACCCATTAGCAGTCACTTACTATATTTTCTTCCTCCCAAACCCT